GCCTTGTCCCCAGTCCCTCTCCAGCTCTCCTGGAGCCCCTTTAGGCCCTGCAAGGGGCTCTCAGCTCTCCCTGGAGCCTTCTCTTCTCCAGGGGAACCCCCCCAGCTCTCCAACATCAACCTGCCCTCCTAATTCCAAGCATGGACTTGACTCCCAGCAGCAGCAAAACCACTAAAAATGAATCCAAACACGTCACGGGGGCTTCAAAGAGCATCTGAAAATGTCCCTGCTCCAGCCCATGGGAAGAAGAACACGCTTGGAAATGTCTTTTGCCCATATTGGGAATGATTCCAGACACTAAAAATACCATCAGTCCTTTTCCTGACCCCACTGGCTGCAGACCTGAATCCACTTCCCTGTTTCAATATTTCATTTCCCCGTTTCAAGGGCTGCCTGAACCTCTGGCCAAGCTCTCAGGCAGCTCCAAGAGCTGCAGCCAAACCTTTCTCCCTGCAAAAATAGGGTAAAAAAGCAGAGGCTGCTGCTCTTCCCCCCAGTTCCCTGTTTTCTGGCACCTGTGACAGGATTAACTCCCCTGGGAAAGCCACTTCTCCCACCACACCTCTGCTCCTGCCATGGACTGATGGGTTTCACTGAGTCATCTCTGAGGTCCTCCCTTTGTGGGACCCCACCCCGACTGGAGAATCAGTTCCTCTTCCCAAATCTCACTTCTTCCCAGAGATTTAGGTCAGGACTACACTTCTGGCTTTGCCCTCAGCCCACCCCTTCTTGTGCAACGCCCTCAGCCCTTCCTCCTCCCTCCCCAAAACAAGCTGAGGAACCATTCCTCTCATTTCCCAGGGGGAAAACAAGGCCTGGTGCACCTTCCCACCCACCCAGCACCCAGGAGGTGCTTCTGCTCCCACTCTGGAGTTCAGAGCAGCAGCTGCAAGCGGGAACTGAGGAGGGATTTCAAGCAGCTCTCCTGGAAAGCCAAGCCCAGGCTGAAGGAAGAGCTCAGCCCACGTGTTGGGGGTTCACCCCTCAGGTGAGCTGGGGTGTCTCCTGGCACGGGGGCCTTTGGCACCAGCGCCCTGAGGTGTTTCTGTCCCAAATTCTCCTGCCAGCCCAGCCCATCCCGTTACCTGTGGACTCCTGTCACACTCTCCTCCACTATCCCCTTGATCTTCTTAAACATGTTGGGATATTTCTTGTAGATCCAGTGAGTGAGATCTCCCCCATCATCCAGGATCTGGAAAGGAAACAACCCCAGTCAGTGCTCTGAGGGTCCAGTGTGGCCTCCAGAGCCCAGAGAGGTACCAGGGATAAATCATTCCACATTCTGGCACCTCAAATCCCACAGTGTGAGCCAGGTGGGAATATTCTGGTTGAGCATTCCAAGCAGGAATGATGCTTCATCAATAATGTCCTGAGGAGGCAACAGGTCAGACAAACACGGCAAACCTTGGTGTTAATGAAGAGAACTGAGGAATTATGGAAAGTGGCTGTGCAGGCTCCTCTCTCCCTGTCTCCCAGAAGCACAGATGGAAAAACCTCTGAACTGGGCAGAGTCATCAGCTCTTCTGATGTGACTGGGAATGGAGGAGGAGGAGGAGGATGGAGAAAGAGCAGGATGTAAAAGGAGGAGGGTGAAGTGCCAGGGAACTGTGCTGACCAGACTGGCTGAGAGCTCATCACCCCAGGGTATGATTATCATCATCACCATCCTCCTGACAGTCACTGCCTTCATCATCATCATCATCATCATCACCACCACTACCATCACCCTTTTTGCATGTTCCCCACTCCCACACCAAAGAATTCTGTCTGCATCACCTTCACCCTCCTCCTCCTCTGTGCATGTTCCCTACACTAACATCAGACCTTATCATCATTACCCTCCTCATCCCCTTCTTTGCCTGTTCCCTACAGCTCCTGGTGTGGCCCAGGGGTGCCCTAAAATCCACGTGCCAACCCTGGGCAGAAGCACCTCCACTCGTTGGTCACTGGTGGAGCTCGGCTGGGCCCCTCCTGCTGAGGGTCTGCAGCTTTCCCAGGAAAAATGAACACTCACACATGGCAGAAGCCCCATTTGGGCACAAAGGTGACATTCCTGAGCTTTGCCATGACACAACGTGGTGGCTTCTCATCCATGGACAGAGAGTTCCTTGGAAATGTTATGTATTTTCACCGCCTTTTCCTCTCAGAATGGCTGGATTTGCCACTGATGTGCAGCAGCTGCTCCTCCAGAATGTCTGGGAAGCACAGGCAGAATGTTTAGGAGCATCCATGTAGATCCAGCTCTTGAGTCTCCGGGGCATTCCCAGCTCCATGTTCCATCCACAGGGAAGCAGAGGCAGGTGAGGGTTAAGCGGGCTGGGCAGCTCTGCCGGGCCAGCCCAGGTAGGAATCCAGCAGCCTGGAACTGAGCAGCCTGGCTCCCAGGACATCTCCATTTCATTAATCCCCATTTAATAGGGCACATAATCCTCTTCTAAGAGAGAATTCTGGGAGCTGGAAGTTTCCTCTTTCCTGGGAGAGCAGGGGATGTAAAACCCCCAAGCTGAATCCACGGGGGAACCGGTTTTGAGAGAAGGTCACCTCTGTGTGGCAGCCCCGACCATCCAGCAGCACAGCCCCACATTCCTGCAGTTTTCCCAGCTTTATGCAGGTTGTTTGCCCTCATTCTCATTCTTCCAGGCAGTTTTATTTTTTTTGGGGGGGGGAAAAAAGCCTTTATTTGAGGTGCAGATGATTTCTCCAGCAGAAAAGCAGCTCTTCCAGGTGGGAACCTTGGTGAGTGTTTCTCTCTCCAAGCAGAACAAATTCCCATTGCTGTCTCTTCTCCCTCCCTCAGCCCTTCCATCTCCTGTTTTCTCCAACAGAAAAATCTCTGGCTCTTCCAGGAAAGAAACTGGTGTCTCCAGGTGCCATTTCACCACCTCTTAAACCCACCCAAGGCCCCGTTACCATCCTGTCTCCCCCTGTTCCCTTCCCAGCTTCCCAAACCACAGCAC